CTTCACAAGGTAAACAGTAGTTAAAGGTTGCTATCAAATAGTCATTAAAGACAGGTCCTTTCTCTTTTATTAACCACTTTTCTTACCTTGACATCATTAAAAACCTTATGGGATTTGAGTGTTCGTTCGTGCTTCATTAGTGAAAAATACTACTTCGTTTCCAAGCTTGGGAAATAAATAGCAAAAGAAAAGTGAAAGGAAATCTTTGCCTACCTAACACTCCTATCCACTATCTATATGAATCCAATTAATATGATTCCAGGAAAGTATTTGAAAAATAATTAAATAGAATATACATTATGTATGCAATACATGTGTGCCTACAAATCTACCACTCCACATATTACCAATCAAACATGTATACTAGTTACACAGAATAGCTTAAGAAACACCACCCATCTCAGTGAACACCTCCACATGTTGATTTTACATTAATTAACATAAAGTTCGCCTTATACTGTTGAAAATTAAAGACAAAGAAGCACTTTGGCAAGTCTCGGCATGAAGTGCAAGTTTTGAGGCTGCATTCCTACCATCTAGAGATGTTGAACAGCTCTTATCGTGCCAGTTAGGTACTTTTGGGTCATTTCATTCAGTAAGCAACCTTCTTAAGCAAAACAGACTTCAACTGCAACTAAATTCTCAAAACAACTAAGCAGTTGTCAGTGAGAGGAATCACTGGTGTCCCCCTTCAGAGTTACACATCCACACACTGAGGATGGACTAATGAGCATCCAGGTTTCTGGTTCCCTCTGACCCACCCTGTTCCTCTCTCTCCTGCAGGTGACCAGCTGTGCCTGGGTGCCCGATGGCTGCCAGCTATTTACAGGCAGCAAGTGTGGAGTCATCACCGCCTACAGCAACCGCTTCACCAACACCACGGTGGGTTACCATGGCAACGTCCCCCTCTAACCTTCCGCCTCCACATCGACACCCAAACCACCCACCCACCTCACATTACCCCCCCACCACCACCCCTCTTTAGTCCGCCTCACCGTGCTCAGCTTCATTAGTCACATCACAGTTGCCCTTGAAACACATTTCCAGCGAGTCCACAAGTGGGATTAGAGGTTCAGTCATCAGAGAGGCTTTCAGAGTTTCATCGGTCCCCGCCAATAGGCATCCATGTGTCCTGTTTCACTGCCTCTGAAGGGGCTTTCTGCAGCCATTGATTTGTGCTGTTCAGAAAATCCTTTCATTAATAGGGTTTTTGAGGAATTGAAGACTCCTCATCCATGCTAACATTCAGATCCGAGTGTCCTCTGCATACCGTCTCTAATGTGTGTCCTTCCACAGCCGTCAGAGATGGAGGTGGAGTCTCAGGTTCACCTGTACGGACACACAGGAGAGGTCACCAGCCTGTTTGTCTGCAAACCCTACAGCATCCTCATCAGTGTCAGCAGAGACGGCACCTGCATCCTCTGGGACCTCAACAGGTCAGAGCGTGTTAAATATGAAAATAATAGAAGACGCTTTACGATATCTTTTGTATGTTGTTTGTGCTTACATTAAAGTGATTATCTGTGATTCTTTAGGCTCTGCTACGTCCAAAGCCTCACAGGCCACAAGAGCCCAGTGACTGCAGTGTCGGCCAGTGAGACCACGGGGGACATCGCAACAGTGTGTGACTCAGGTGAGGACTGCTCTGCTCTGCCTCTATCATATCATTCTCATAGACTGACACCATGTTGATATGAGTTCTGACATATGATCCTGTGTCTCCAGTGGGCGGGGGCAGCGACCTGCGTCTGTGGACGGTGAACGGAGACCTCATTGGTCACGTCCACTGCAGAGAGATCATCTGCTCTGTGGCCTTCTCCAACCAGCCGGAGGGCGTGTCCGTCAACGTCATCGCCGGGGGGCTGGAGAACGGCGTGGTCAGGTGAAAATATTATATTTCATTATACAGCTATTCTTGGTTCATTTGCTTTAAACTTGTATCACCTTACATTTTCATTATATGGTTTTCTCAGCCAAAATAATTCACTTCCCCTTTTTAATGTGTGTTCATTTTTGTCAAATTAATTACATTGGGGAGATCCTGCAAGAATGTAAATAAACAGAATTAAGAGGTGTTGGATAAATTATTCCAAAAATATCATTACATGTGTAGGTTTAACATGATATAGATATTTTAAAATGATAATATCACGGATGTTGTCGATCCCAGTATATCCCGACCTCTAATCCACACTGATGTTTCAGGTTGTGGAGCACCTGGGATTTGAAACCAGTGAGAGAGATCACCTTTTCCAAGTCGAGCAAACCCATCATCAGGTATCTTATCGGCGCTACACCCATGTTATTCTTTGCTACCACTTGCCACCATTGTAAATAGATGTGTAACTCTGTGTGTGATTCTGATGATGATGTCCTCTCCTGCTTGTCTCAGCCTGACGTACTCGTGCGACGGCCACCACCTCTACACCGCCAACAGCGAGGGCACGGTGATGGCGTGGTGTCGGCGGGACCAGCAGCGCATGAAGCTGCCCATGTTCTACTCCTTCCTGAGCAGCTACGCCGCAGGCTGACTGTGGGTCTGACTTTGCTACTGTCCAGATCTCAGCAAGAGGAGCCGCTCCCACCCTCTTCTTCTTCCTCCTCCTCCTCCTCCTCCTCCTCCTCTGTGCAATGACAGGGAGGATGTGTCAGCATGGCCTCCCTGAACCCACCCTAACTTAACTAAAGCCATCCCCCTGCTGAGCAAACTCTACTGCAGCCGCTCCCAGCATCAACAAATTATTAAGAAAATAGTATTATTATGTATATAAATATATATTTATAAACATACTGAAGTGGAATGTTGGGGATGAATCTTTGGCCGCGACGGACACTTTATATGAAGCATTTCTGAGAGTGTGATTGGTAAATGTTATTTTTGTTTGTTTCTTGCTGTTGTTTTTTGTTGTTGTGCGGAGATCCTTGCCTGCTGTTGATTTTGTTGTTTCCCTGGTAAGCTGCTATCGTCTGGCCTAAGCCAGACCCAAAGTGTGAAGACCCTCGGTGGCGCTCGACTCTCCCGCAGCGCATCGTCTAACAGATTGTTGCCGGAGCTCTGCGAGCATGTCCTGCTGACGCTGCAGCAGAGGGGGGGGAGGCCCCTCCCTGTTCTGTCACCGGGAGACGTCCTGCTCTGCTGGGCTTGTCTGCTCCACTCAAATCCGAACACTGATGTCACAGCCCTGCATCACTTTGTATCTGAGCTCAGGGGAGAGACGGGGCAGGGGGGTGAATTGTTCCTTGTGTTGCCTGTTGTTCTGTCCTTCTTTTGCATGCTAGAATGATGCTGACCTGTAATGTATGCAGTTGTGACATTTACTGTCATGATACTCCTGAATGAAGGCCTGCCTTGGTTGTCCTCTTGCATTGAGAAATGTTGATATTCATTTATTTATTAGAAGCACCACAGAGGTTCATCCATCCTTCTTTCCTTCTCTTGTGTTTTGCAAGCTCAAAAAGTGGCTTTAAATGCACTAAAACCTTTTTTTAAATTAATATAGTTTGCTAAAACTCTGAAGAAGCCAATTACCAAACAGCATTAGACGAGTGAAGCTGCAGAAGAAGCAGAAGTCTCCTGAATGCACCCCTCGCTGATCTGAGGCATGCCTAGTAACTGCAGCGGTTTAAAACGGTCTAGCTTGGGATGTCTTGGTTAAAAGCATCATGCCCAGCAGACTGAGGTTAGAGCAGTGAGCATTTCCGGCACTGATGAGGTTTACAGCTTATTTTAAAATACACTACACTGAACCAATCGACCAAACATGTATTTCCTTAAGCTCCATGCAGCTACTCTTTACATTCCCATTTTACCTACGGCACTTTCCGTTTGTCTGTTAGTATGAGTGAAATGGTAGTCAAAGCACTTTTTTATCAGCTACCATTTTATTCAAGGAAAGCCAATAATCTGTGTATTTACCATGAACTGAGCTTTGATTTAATTCCACTAATCCAGAAAGCAATATCAAACATGCAATAGGTAATTTCTGTCAGAAGGAGTTTGTTTAACACAGCTGTGAAAAAAAAGATGTTTTGCCTTTGTGCCGACCGCAGTGAGCCTTGTGAGTTGGAAAATGATGTCTTAACTCTCACACTTGGTGTTTGACTTGTTTACGAGTAAGGGAATATTTCTTCTTATATCATGATATCATTCCTTTTGTGTTTTCCTTATTTTTGGTTTTCCTTCTCAGCCCACCTGGACCCCTTTTGTTGTGTGCCAGCTTCAAGCCTGTGCAAAATATGAAGTTACTGTGTTTGTTTACTGTGTTTCATGTTTGCAAATGTATAAAAGTCTATGAGAACCACAACCTTTTATTTTCTCTCAAAAATCCACATGTATCATTGCATGAATGTGCCCCCCTCCCCTTTTGTGATGGCAAAAGACGAGAGAAAGACATGAAATTGGCCGATGTTTTTGTGCTTTCTGACACAGAAGGAAATTTTTTTTTTTTTGTTGATAAATGTAGCTAGCTATGCATAATTTAAGATCGTTGTCTTGAGTTACTGAAATTATGTCCTTTCTTTGACCTGGGCTGGTTTTGCAGTTTGGCATCATGAACTGAAAATCTGAAAGAATATGTTTTTCTGTTTGTTTTTTGTTTGTACATATATGCGTGTGTGTACGTATGGACAAACCAAGTGATGAGAATATTATAAATATATAAATATTTAAAGAAGCATTTCTTTTGTCCATCTCTTACTTTGTGTGGTGCGTTCAGGGGTATATATAGAGAACGGAAACCTTGATGATGCTTCCACAAATGATCGTAATAATCTCAAGAAAAATAAATATGTCATTCAAATATTCTCAAGCATCATTTTTTGTATATGGATGCAAATTGCCCCCCAACATGTTTTCATGGATACATCCCAGCAGTTACTTTGGAGGGGGGACCCAGTGATGTCAAAGCTGATGAAAAAATTAAATGGGGAAGCCTGCAGATCTCAGGTGCCTTTTGCAGCAATAAAGCAAATGAGGAAATCAGCAGTTCCTAATTCGACTAATAGGCTGTGTCGGTGCGTTTACGGCCAGTCTGTACTTAGCATCCTGCATTGTTGCTGCTTTAGCTCCTGGTCCACTGATCGAGTGCTCCCTGCCCCACAGCCTGCATCTGATCGTCATACAGAGGTTTCCCCCCCTGCTGCATGCGTAACATCTCTCCAAGTCCAGCCGTGGTGCTCACCAAGACCGCTTGGATCTCATCTTCCTACACGGAATACGCACGACACGCGCTGAGCGATCCGCTGAGGCGAAATTAAAACGCCAGGATCCACCTCATCGGGTTCTGTCCAGACCGAAACCAGGCTGGGATTTCCTCTTATCATTTCATATTTGACAGATCGTCTTTGTGTGTGTGCGTGTGTACGTGTGTGTGTGTGTGTTGGGTGGAGTCAACCCGGAATTCTCCAAATTGGAAAACCATTGGCACATTTCAGGTAGGTTACATTTTCAGGCGGCTACATTAATCTGTTCATAGCCGAGCAATGCAGCGAACCATTCAGATATTTATTTATGTAATTCCTTCTTGTAAAATCATTTGTGTTGTCATGATGTGTGGTTTGCTGTTTTCTGCTCTAACCAGGGCCGCAGCTCGCACGGCGTGTGTCTTCAATGTAATCCCCTTTTAGAAATAAGACTCGACCATATTTGCCATATCTGCATCAACAATTAGCATCGTTACATTCGGATAAACAGTGTTTCTCCCGTTAGTGCCCCAAATGCAGCCGTGTGGACGAATCGAAGGGAAACCTAAATGGAAAGGCCTGATACTGTAGCTTCCTACGAGGGTGTGATTGAAAGCTATAAAATGTATTTAGATCCATGAAGGATGGGATTGGAAATGAATTCACCGTCTGCATGCCCCCCTTTACAAAATATCTGCTTCATCGTATCTGTTTTTTAATACAGTTGAATTTGACTTGATGCGATGAAATAAGCAAATTGAAGCAAACAAATCTAACTGAGTGTGAATTCAACAGCACACCACTTCAGTGAAATGCTACATATTTCAGTGCACAGTATTATAAAACAGCTGTGGTCAGGTGTCATCTCTCTCTATGCTGTGGCTGCCAAACTGGGACATTTCAGGAGTGAGGGGGTCAAGGGGCCTAAAATGAGAGCAAGATGTAGTCACATTGAAATATGCACAGAAAGGCTGATTGCAAATGGAGCAGATAAATACACTGCAGCTGTAATGATGAGCCTACATGTTGGGAAAGTGGACAAATCTGCTCCTGTTTGTAATTGCCGGGGTAGACATAGGAAGGTTGCAGGTTTGATTCCTTTAGAAGGGTTCACAAGCTGACATTTGAAAGGAAATGGAGCAGCAAATGTGTGCAGACATATCTTTTGAGCAATGCAGTTGAGACAAACACAAAACATATTCATGCATGATTGACTGACTGTAAAATGACAAACCGCTGTCCAGCTGCTTCCTTTTTGAGTTCTTACCTCAGATAAAATGGAGCTCTGCTGCTTTAAAACAGATTCCCCCAGACAAAATGGGTCCTTTTAAATAAAAAGGTTGTGGCAGAGAGTGGCTGCTCAAGGGGGGTGGGACATCGCCAGGGGGGATGCTGCTTTGTTTATTTAATGTGCTGTTCATTGACTCCATGTGTCCCCCTTTGTGCCTGTGTTTTGGCATCACAGGAGCACCATGAAAGACGGAATCGCCAACAACAGCACGGCCAGCATCTCCCAAGCCAGGAAATCTGTGGAGCAGCTGAAGATGGAGGCCTGCATGGATAGGATAAAGGTACAGGTTTTGTTTTTTTACCTTTTTTACCAAATATTTAAATTTCTTCATTTCATAAAATCATTCTGCTCTTATATGTCTGTATGTTGATATGATTAATGTTGTACAAATCTGTGTGTTTCTAAGTACAATATCCTCTTCTTGGTTCTGAACAGTCTTCAGCTACCAGCAAACTATTCTTTTTGTATCCATTTATTTTTCTTAACTAAGCTCAAACATGTTTATATTTACCTGTCACAGCAATTTAATGAAATCATTTTTTAACCTAATATCCAGGCTTAAACATTGATCTTTGCCCAAAAATTTAAAATGTAATGAGCCTCACTGGTGCACTGCCTAATTATAATTAACACAGTTTGTTCACTGCAACTAATTGTATGAATCTGCTGCTCAAATTTGTCCAGTATTCACTATTTTGTCCTGTCAAGTAACGTTTTCGTACAAACTACTGTGTTACAGTAAGTATACCTTCATTAGGGAAATGTTAAGGGGTCCAAGGTGGTTTGTTGCTCAAGCCATTACCTTCACCTCCCCTGTGACAAACTGCACATGCTGCTATCTTGACATTTTAAATCTCTAAATATAAAATTAAAAGAAAACAGTTTGACATTTTGGGAAATGAGCTTAATCACATTCTTACAGGGTGTCATATGCAAATATGTATGCCAGCCTTGGTAACAGTAAACATTATGCTGCAGCAAGTAGCAGGTTAGCTTAGCATTACAACTGGAAACTGAGGGAAAGCCTGGCTAAGTGAATAAGTAACTAGATCTGCCTAACATCACCTCTAAAGCTCAGTAACCACCAAGTTATACCTTATTATATAAAATATGCTTGGAAGTGACTGATTCTGGGGGAAAATAGTCTTGTTTTTGAACACCAGTTTTTCTAAAAAGAAATAATCAAACAGTTTTTAAAGTGTTCAATATAATGTAATATATTATTGGACTCCTACAAACATGTCAGACAGTTTTTCCAAATCGATGCAGCAGAAATTATATTTGTAAAAATCTTGAACCTACAATAACCACATAAAGACTAAAGGCTATCTCTTTGCCTTTAACATGCATTATTTTTTGAATGGCCAGTAGGGGGCGACTAACTCAACTGAGTGCAAAAAATAAGTCCTATTTTATAGGAGACTATGAGAAAAAGACCCAATTTCTCACTAGATTTATTACCTCAGTTAATATTTTCTTCATGAGTTTATGGTCTCAATCGCTAGTCTTATGTTTTTTCGTCCCAATAGCATGATTTTTATTTGTTTATTATGGTTCGATTTAGAGTAAAATAGATGACAGTAGGGTATGCATCAGGGTGTGGCTACCCTGTGATTGACAGGTCGCGGTGTTGCCTTGTCTAGTTTTATCCATGTTTTGGTCTGCCAAAGATGTCTTGTTTAGCATTTAGTTGTACTTCACCATCACCTGTTGGTTCCAAAAACCAAGATAATTAGGACCTAGTTAAGATGCCACACCCTTATTTGCGATACTTGGGGAAAAATCTTTCAAGACTTGCTGCCCAAACTCAACCTTTCAAAGTCAATGCCTAACATTAACCATCTTGGTTTACGACTAGACACAAACAACTAGTGGCTTTAAAGTAGTAGTCCACAAATGAATGTGACGTCTTCTTTTTAAATAAAGTCTACAGTTTTGACAGAGATTCAGGTCTGTTATGCCAGAAGCAGCTAATGAGCCTCTAGCAGAGATGAAGAGTTAACACTCAAGTGTCCTCAGGAGATGCAATTTATCAGACTTTCTGAAGCTCCCTCTTAAGCCAGAAAAGGTTTCATACAACATTTTGTAACATTAGAACAAACGTTCCTTATATAGCATAACTAGAGTTCCTGTAATTGTTTTCTGGCTACGAGGCGGCAACAAATTATGTTTCTCAGCTTATTATAGAGCAACTTCTTCTGACAGACGTCACATGAAGCTTTAGTTTACCTTGAAAGCCACAGTGTCGCCTCCTCTGTCAGAATGTATCCACTGTGCACAGATGGGAGAGCCAAGTAGTTCTAATGTGGTGAACCCAGAGGCATGCTGGGCTTCGGTGAACGTTGACCACTTCTGACATTTGTTTTCTACCAAAGTGGGTCAACTTTTCTCAGACTGATCATAGAGATTTCACTGTGTTAGCAGTTTCTCATGCAGGGCTTCTTCGTCTATTACATGTCTAGTGTTTGATTTCGACCAAGTGTGCAGCAAGCTTGTGCGCTTAATGGCTGATGTTTAAAATCCCCAGCCGCAGCAAAGAAAATGTAGATATTTAATTGTGTTTATTTATGATAATCATATTCCTGATCATATCCATAACCAAGTTTAGGCCTCATAAAGAGTATATGCCCTTATCAAACTATGGCTGGATAAATATTGACTCTTGAGCGCGTTATGCTTTTTATGGTTGAGGTCAGTCACTATGCTTTCAAATGGCACAATGTCTTAAGTGTCAATAGAGAATAGAGAGTTCTATTAGAATCATTACATCGAACCATTCCCAGATTTGTTGTTTTCACAGCATGATGTTTTTACCCCCAATAAGAGGCTATTTTACACTGTTCATGAACAACTTCTCAGTAAGTAAAAGGCGGTGTCATCATCTCATTCGGTATGCTCCTCTTGTGCTCAGGGAACGATTGCCCCACAGCCTCGACGCTGTTCGCTCAGCATTATAGCCGAAGCCTGGAAGTCTGCCATACACCATCATCCCTACACAGCACAACAAAGGCCGCTTACAAGAACCCTGGCTTCTTAAGAACAGTGATTATCACTTACGTATAATCAGGGTTTGGAGGATGTATTACGAAGACCTCTAATTGAACCTACAATGTGTCCTGTTGGCACAATACCTCATTCAAAATATTTTCAGATAATGTCATATTTCTTTAAGGAAGAATAGTTAGACTTAATGTAGTCTCAACGTCTAAAACTATGTCAATTGAGAAGTGGGTTTTTTTCATTGACTGTTAAAGCAACATTACTATCATGTTTTCGTCACTTTACACAATATTGACTTTTAGTGAATGCAGATATTGGCAAGAGAAAAATTAATAACCTTAAACACAATATTGTCCTATTTGAACAGAATTAATACTGTATTGTTGTCTTTTTGTCTGTGTTTGTGATTCTTCTCAAGCTGAATTGATATACAAAAACTACAACCCTAAGTGTTAAGACTTAAAGAAAAAAACCTGGATTGGGAAAGGTGGTGAAAAATAATACAAAAGTGTCCACAAAGTTGGGCAAAATGGTAGCAAAGTCATTATACTGTAGCTGGCAATAACATATATTGGATTTCCTTTATATGTTATTGTCATTTACTTGATAATAGTTGATTTTTAAAAGTTTGACTTAAATTGAGTTAAATAATATGCAAAGAGCATAACATATTAACATTTGTACACCTATTTCATCCAAATTCCTAGTCTTAACACTAAATACTGTCAGTTTTTATACATTAACACCTTATGTTCATGCCTGCCGCAAGTTCTCATGAAGATTCACATGAACACTTCAAAAATAATGGTATATTTTCCATTTCCAGATCGTTTGGAGGGAAAGTAATAACTGTATTACAATTTGTGGTAATAGCCATAAGAATTTACACAAAAAAATCAGAATATCAAATAATGTACATGTAAGGGTAACTGAACATGGAAAATAAAGCTTAACAAAGCTTTGGTTCAACCACTTGCTAGCTGCTCATTAGTATGCATACTTGCTGCCATGGCGAAAATAGTATGCAATGTAAGCTAACTTCTAATAGCGCTGCTGAAGGTGAAGGCTTTAAAATTATGTTCTGTTAAATGAGCTGAGAAGTGTTCAGATCACATAGTGTCTGTCTGAATACATTTGACTTGTACGTTTTGTTGTCATTTTAGTATTTTACGGGAAAAGAGGCATTGGACTTGAATGTGAATGAATCTTAAATGTCACATCTGATCTATATCTGAGAGGCTTTCACTCAGCCAGCTCCATAGAGGGTCTGAAAAATATTTAAGGTTTCTGAATAATTGGCTTCTGCCTCTCAGTCAGGGCATCTTTGAGATGATGTGAAAGACTTAAAGAAAGTTTAGCCCAAACTTTTTTCAGGAAGACAAACCTCCTTGTTTCAATGCGTGACAAACAGATCTATTTGAGTTTTGTTCAATGAATTTTACAAGTATTTAATGACGCAAAAACTAAGGCTCTCTTAAAAAGGACATCATTCTTATATACGTTTTATATAACATTAGGGAAGTGCGAATTTCAGCCAATTATGAGAACAAGTTTAAAAAATGCACAACTGGCTGTTCAATTTGTACTCCTTGCATCACATTTCCTAACAGATTATCACACATAAGGAAAGCATTAAGGTGGAAAAAACACATGTATTTATTCAAAAGTGAAATAATAAATATAGTGTTAAAAAAAGGGTGTTTTTTTTATCAGCAGCATGATTTCAAATTGGCATTGTTTTCTCAGCATGATTGAAAGGTGGGCAGCTGTTCGTGCTTTGATAACCAGTTGAAAGTGGAGGCAGAGAAAAGTACAGAAGAAGAAACAGACAGTGGGCCACGTCTGGCGATCTCTTACATTTAATTAAGGGATCTGATGAGAGACAGTGTGTGTATCAGTGACAAGAGGAGTCTCTGAGCTGCTGATTGAGGGATCACCACATTCTCATTAATTGCTCAATCAGCCAAAGGAATGTGATCTGTGCTAATTAGAAGGACTCTCCTTCCATCATGGGGATGCAGTGTAATTACAGTCAGTCTGGGCCTAATGACACACGCAGAACAATACCACTCTTTGTCCTGTGGGGCTCCCGTTCTCTGCAGAAACCCTGTCTGCAGTTACATGAAGTATAATAATTATTGCATTTGCTAACTATTCCACTTTTTGCAGACTCAGATAAGTACCATAATCAGGTCAGCTAGAAACAGACATTCAAAATAACCATGCAGCTAAAATAATTAGGCATTTCATTTCAAATGTGTGTTCTGAATGAGTAGATTTTTCATATTTGACTAATATAACAGATATCTAATTATGAACTAAATACAATTAACCAGTAATATCAGACTAGGTATTTGAGCGTAATCTCTTCCTCAGTTTTAGGGAGCATTTTAGCTAACATGCTAAACTAAGATGGTGTAAAAGGCTAGCATTAAACCTGATAATTATCATAATGTTTGCATTCTTTATTGTGAGCATGCAATCCAACATGTTAGGCAAGCCAAGTTTATTTATATAGCACCTTTTTAAACACAAGGCAATTCAAAGTGCTTTAAGAAACGGAAAAAGATTAAGAGCAAATGTTAGCTTGCTGACATTAGCATCTAGCTAAAGGCAACTGTTGTGCACGGCCTCACAGCTGCTAGCATGGCTTGATTCTTGTTTTCAACTTGCTAGCACAGCATGGGCTACCTCAGTAGTTCACCAAACTATTTTGCTTTATGTGACCCTTTTTAAAATGAAGCAATGACCTCTTCAGAATAAATAATTCAAAGGATTTCTGGATGCCCTCTAGAGCTGATAGTATAAAACTCCCCAAACCCAATGTTAGGAATAACTGAGGTTAAGATAAAGATTACGTAAACTTAAAGGGATTTGAATCCTAAAAAAGTCCTTGAATTCTGGTATTTGTCCTTGAATAGCTGTATATTTTGACATGGAAAGGTGTTTGGGAGCGTCCGACTGGCTGTATAGATGTCTGATTGTATGGAAGTCACTTTTCAATTGAGTTTATGTTCTAAAGCTCTAGTTTCAATTTTCTTCAATTACATACAGCATGATGTTCATTGGTAAATGATGGTCCTGTTAAATAGACAATACAGGCTCTGGGACGTGACTACATTGTGATTGACAGGTCACTATGACCAAGATGGTGACATCACAATGATTACGTTCACTAATCTAATATAGTCTGTGAAAAACACATCTATGAGCCGCATCATTGAACTTGACCAAATGTTTAGTAATCCACTACTGAAAAAGAAAAACAGACACATGCATAATGAGTCCCTCTTCAAGTAGCATTTGTGAAAGACTCCAGTGCTCATTCGTTTAAGGACTTTTCAGTTGCCTTTTTTTAAAAGTGAATGTTGGTGAAGTACTTATTTGAGAGCTGTTTTTAGAGATTTATGCTACAGTAGGAAAGATGGGCTTACAGCTGAGTGGCAGAGGGTGAAATCAGAAATGATTGAGTGACTGACACACAATATTGGTTATGGTTTTTTCATGAGAAGAGTTAACAATATGTAAAACATAGGATAACGCCAGCCTTATTGTTCATTTTAAATAACAGAAATAAGCAATCTGTTAGACATATTATTTTGTGCTCCAGACTGAATAAATTGTACAGTTATAATCCCTTTTGAAGCATAATAGATCTTGGGCGTATTCTCTTGTGAGAGCATCATTGGATGAGGTGAAATGGCACAGGAGATCAGATGGCTTTATTCTCCATGAAGATCCCTGACCCCTCTCCGTCCCTCTGTTGCAGATCCTCCTCTGTTCTCCATTTGAGGCCTTTTCCCTTCCGTAACCCCCCAATAAAACAACCCTACATTCTCATGCAGTGTTGCTGTTTGACTTTGTAAAAAACACCAAGCAACTTTTCACCCTGAGGCAGAAAGTGTGTGGTTAGTCCCACCCTCTTTTCCCCTCAGTTTGTCAAGGTCCCGCCTTAACACCTGTCAGTCATCTTGATGAGCTGTCTCTTCTTATTGCCTCGGGCTGATGTAACAGGCATCAGTGCGGCCACGGGCGCTGACGAAGCAGAAACACAGACGATAAGCAATTTTACAGAAAAAAGGGCCATGCAACATTCCTCGAGGTTTCGGACATCTCTCCTCTGCTGAGAGTTTAGCTCCAAACACATTTTCTCTGAGAATGAACACAGTGCGGGTTGCAGAGCAGAGTGAGCTTAACTGTAGCCAAACTTTTCTGCAGTAATCCATGCTTTATTTACCTATACTATAATAGTGGTAGTGGTGTGAATAAAGTGATAGCCATGTTGGCCCCTTTGGTCCAGACCGAAATAGCTCATCACTATTTGATGATTTTATTACATTCAAGGTCCCATAGGATTAATCCTGGTTGCATCTCTTGATATATTATTCAAGTGCCATCATCATGCCAAACTCATTTATAACTAATACTAGCAAAACTAATGACATTCCCATCAGCCTTAGATATACTGTTCTTTGTGTTTGTCTAATATTGAATTAGCTAGATCCATGAAAGAAAAAACTGAAATCTCATCATCTCCTTTTTGTCATATTTCTTTTCCGGGCCTTGTTCTGCCTTTATTAGTTAGAAACAGGGGAGAGGTGAGATTAAAAACAGGGAAAGCCAGAGAGATACACTAAAGGTCAGATTTGAAGTTTTTAATTCACTTGACTGATGATGAATTATATATCAGGAAACCGGAAACAACCTCAGACACCTCCCTGATGAAGGCAGAAAAGCTGAAAATGTTCTAAATAAAGCATGGTGTGCTGGAGAGGAGTGTGTCCAAATGTAATTTGAATAGTTCCAAAACATCCCAAAGGTCATTTAAAGGTGAGGTAGGTAACTTTGGAGAAACCAACTCGAGTGCGCTAGAATTTGAAAATACACAGCCGGAAAAAATCTGCCACTTCCTTATAGAGCCCCTCCTCCAACACACACAAACGTGCACATGACCAATCAGGGCACGAGATAAATGTGTGCACAGATGAAAGGCTGACAGGCAGGTAGGCCATCCAGTTATTTTAGCCGGGCCGGCTAAAATGATTGATCGTGCTTTTTACTACGGCTTCCACAGATGAAATTTTGTATGGATTTTTTGTCAAAGCACTTAAGATATTCATTGCTCTCGGGATGTTAAGAGCATTCAATGGAATATAACAAAAAGTGTATCTCGAGCCGGTTTCTCAAACTTACCTACCCCACATTTAAGATGCAGGTAGAGAGATGGAGTAATTTGAAGGAACCTTCTTTGTGATCCTATGGTTGACATACATCTTTTGTTTAAATGTTAGAGAAAGTGAAACCTCTGTTCACCCCTCTGTGTCCTTTTCTTTGTCTCAACATTTCAGGTCTCCAAAGCGGCTGCAGACCTGATGGCGTACTGCGACGCCCACATACGCGAGGACCCCCTCATCATACCCGTCCCCGCCTCCGAGAACCCTTTCCGGGAGAAGAAGTTCTTCTGCAACATCCTCTGATGAGCTGCCGGGGGAGCTGCGCGGGTGCAGGCACGGCGCTGCCTGTCTTCTCTGTCTTCACCACACCTGAAGCTACTGGCCATAGGCGTTGAGTTGAGTTTTGCCAGGTGGACACTCTGTTGTTGGTCAGCTCTGTCCTGGTGGCTGAAGGTTTTGGGGGAGTCAGCTACCGAACTGGCAACCCAGTGAGCGTATCATGTCTTGTTAAATAGGTTTGTTATTGCTTTGTTATTAGAGAACAGCCTTGCTTATTGAGATGAGAGATGTTATTTTATTTTTTATTTTATTGTGCTAGATTTTAAGATGCCTCAGGAAACATAAATTTGCCCAGTGTCTACGACTTTTTCTTAAATGTCCCTTCCCTTTATCTGAATGAAAAAAATATCTTTGTATTATCTTTGACATAATTTAAGACATTACTTTCAGTGCACAGGTTGTCTATTTGAAGCAATGCTTACTGAAAGTACGACTAAAATGTAACACTCCACTCACTAGGGGTTTCTCTTTTAATTTGCTTCCAGTCACAAACAATGAACCCGCTCTTATTAGCGCTGCAGTACAGTCAGATTCAGATTAAAGCCCAGAAACAGAAACCTTATATTGCATAGTAAATTATTTCAGTTTGTGCTAATAACACTGGTAGTAAAAATAAGATGGCTGCACATCAGTTCTGTTGCTAATAAATAAATAAATAAATAGACTCCCTATTTATTCAAAGTTGCAGAGCTATTATTAGGACAGCGAGTTCTTCAGGGTTATCACCGTGCGAACAACCCTTAAGGTCAGACATTATTTATGAATCTGCCCCCTCCTTCCCAGGCCCGCTCTAATGCATTCTACCTTTGCTGCTCTGTTTGATTTACTCATCATACACGTCATTCACTTCAAATCAGAGACACTATGTGTTAAACCTTCAGCCCCCCAATTGGGATATTTTTTACAAGTCGCAGGACATCTTTTCCTTTTATATCTTCATTTGTTTTCTGGGCATGTTTCCTGGGCCTGATTCTTTTTGCCTGTTCTAGAGTGAATGGCAAGGCCTTTGACATTAATGCCAAAACCAGAGGCCTGCATGTTTCTCTGCTCCTTTTTGACAGCCTCCTCTGTTTCCGAGGAACTGTCCGTCTTTTAGAGTGTACAGTACGTTACAGTGCCAATTTCTGTGCGAGCAGTGTGATCTTCACACTACGTGCTCCCGCAGCCTTCTTTCCGTTTGGTTTGTTTTTGGAAGAAAAAGCACACTGTTGAAACCTTTCCTTTACATGGTAGTCGAATAGCATTTGCTAATTTTTACGATTAATTGTTATGATCGTTATTAATATTGTTATTATTATCGGTAGTATTATTGAATATTTGTTGCACAGCACTGACAGCTACATGACGTGTAGTGCTACTAAGCTTGTATGATACTTAGGAGAAGAAAAAAAAACATTTATAAGTCATGCAATTATTGATACTATCCGAGTATTTTTTAAAAATAATGGTAAGGGTCGGTTTACATATTATGATCCCTTCGGTGGTTCAGGCTTTTTGCATCATTGTTTCTGTAAAGTTAAAAGAAATGTCCTCTTGGTACTTGAACAGCCATTGCATTAGGATTCAAAGTGACTGTCACAAACTATTGGACTTGAAATTGTTTTCAGGATAAATATTGTTTTTATTTCCTAAATTTAAAAACCTGAGAGTGACATCAGGGCGCTCCCACTGACCTCTTCTCAAGGATGGTGCCAAATCTGAAATATAACGTCTAGAGATGAATATTGCATGGATTTATTTCTATCTATAACGGAGAGAACTATTATGATATGAAATATTGCCTCTTCGTTGACATTCTGGGCGCTACTCTGCACATAATAATGTCATTTGAGTCCGGATATGTTGACGATGTGCAGCTGTACTCATGAATGGTTTTATCGTTCTGGTAAAAAAAAAAAAATAGCATTTAAATAACAGGCTTTGTAAATCCTTTGATGGATCAAATGAATTAAAGGAAAACGGCAACCCCAATGTGCTGTGTCTGCAATATTTCTGCCTCTTGTCTTTCACTGAAGTTTGATCCAACTGATGTCATAAAAGGCCATTGCAAGTCACTGTGGGTCTCTCAGATAAGCATGATATTCTGGTGTGTAGTGGAGACGCCCTGTGGCTGAGCTCAACCATAGGCCACCTGGGTGCACTGTCATATTTTTTAAAGCATTGTGATTCAATGCAGCCTCAGCCAGTTTGCCCTTTACACTGCTGATAAAAAAGAAAGCATCTTCAGACACCGCAGGTTGATGAAAAATGTCCCTTGCAATGATTCAGGGTATCAGCTGCTGACAGCAACATTTTGTGTTGTAGCGATTTGATGTGTTCATCCATGCATACAGCCTCCCCCTGGGAACAGACTGAAACCCATCAAGATGGGTTATTTTTGTCACTATCTTACTGTGCTTTAAGGTTAATGAGTCATTGACATATGGTCAAATGTACGTGGTGTGTTCTATAATAATAACTTATAAAAACTTGCAAGGCGTAGTCCTTACTTAAGCGACCAAGGTTTATATCTGACACGTTGCCCTTTGCCGAGTTTCGTCCACTTTTTCTCCCCCTTTCCCGTCTGTCTCTCTTCTATAATTAAAATGCCAAAAAAAGAACAACTAAACTGGCAACAACTGAACAGATTGTACAAAACAGTGTGGACAAGTGTAATGAATGACATTCATAACGCAAGTCAGGTATCCCTTATTGATTTCTCTAAACAAATCCCAAAGGACCAGGATGTAATTAAGTAGAAGTAGATATTCTTAAACCATGGCACAGCTGTGGTGTGGATTATTATTCACATTTATTTCAAGCCCCCCTGAAAAACCTATTTTCTCAAATTGCTTCTTACTGTGATTGATAAGGCCCTTCACGGACACAGAAATTCTCCTAAACTTAGAACAGTTTAGCTTTTTTTTTATGTGAGAGATTTATTTATTTATGTCTTTAGTTTGGTCTGTTTTTCTTTGTTTGGGATGGGTTGGACTTTTCTTAAAAATCCTAATGTCCCAATGTTCCCAATATTTGAATTAGAATATAATCAACATTGATCAGCTGTCAAACTATCTGATCCGACTTCACCCGTACAGTCCCAATGAAGCACATTAGCTGAATAAATAATTGTTTATTACTTTTTTAATTCCCTACCTTTAAAGGTAATTGTTGGTTGTTTAGTTAAGTCTTTTTCAGGTTATACAAAATAAATGAAATACTTAGGATTAAAAAACAATTTTGTAGTTGCAGTAAGTTAATTTGACTAGTGTATGTATGTATATATATATATATAGCCCAAAATCAAATCCCAGAGGGCTTTGCTGTCTGTACAACAGAAGCAGCCTCTTTCTTTAGACTTCCAATTCAGATAAGAACATTGTTTTCCCAAATTGGTTTTATGAACCAAAATCAGACATTCAAGAAATATGTCTCAATATAATGGAATGCACATAGTTCTCAGGTGGGACATAACTAGATACAAATACATCTTTATAGATCTGTAAAAGAAAAGAAAAAAAGGGCAGTGAGTTCTGAGTGTCTGAACACTGCAACAAAGAAGATTGGAATGCGTTAATAAAGCATAAATAGGTTTCAACAAACAAATATGGACTAAAATCAGAGTGGGAAACAAAACCACAAACTATGCTTAGAAGAGGGTCCGCAGCAAAGCAGGATGTTAGGTTGTGTTTGGAGAAACCCAGAACATGCTATGAATAGCATTTTCCTTTCAAATGAATAATGTGTTGCAGAGAGAGAACTAAATCTTTGTAATGAGTACATCTATGAATATGATTCCAAAAATAATTATATAATACACAGGAAAGTAATTATCCCTAGGGCACTTGGTTATCTACACCGGGAATCTGTGCTGGAGCAATTTTCCAAATTGAACAGTGAGCCCCCAAAGTGTGCACAAATACATGAAAATAGTCCGAATGTCTGATGAGATTATTTATCAACACTCACAGCATTTCTACTCATAACATTGGCATACTCTGTTGCATGCCAGTGTATTCCATTACATTATTATTTCTCACTGAAAGAGGGTTTTAAAGTGACGAAAATAACATGTGTGAAACACTCACTATTAACATCTGTGCAAATGAAATGTTTACAAGCATGGCAGCAGGTGCTCCTGGTGTCTGGCCCTCTCTTCCTCTCCAGCAGGAACACTGGTGCTCTCAGAGTCAGAAGAAATCCTCCTCAAACACCCCTCGCCATGCACAATAGATTGCATTTAAATTATTTATATGCACCACAGAGTAACGGGTTTAATAAAGTTATGTTCTAATATTAAAGCTACAACATGTTGCCTGGGTCTTGTAGATAGATAAAATGATTTGTATCTTAATTTTCTACTCTGCTTAGAATGTGGTTCTGATTAGAAAATTCCCAATTTGGACTGAAGCAAAATCCAACAAAGAAACTGAAATGTTATGTTATAAAGATGCCTTAGAGATACTGTTTATAGCTCACTACTTCTAAGGGCATGTGATAAACTATTTGCATTGTTTTGTGCTTACAATAACATTTGGTTTCCTTTTAAATATGAAACTTGTATACCTGCTTTATTTGTTTATGAAGATGTTTCAAATGATAAAATGTATAGAATAAACCAACATACCATGTTTGAGAATGGAAATATACTACTGCTGATAATAATGCTATGTAACCCTAGATGTATTATACTTTTTTTTGTTCTTATCTGGATATTAAAAATATTTTATTTCATGCCCTAACCCCTTAAAAAAATGATATGTCAGCTGTTATGTTTTGGTTACAATGACAACTTTTATTATATAATTTCCGTTAATAATAGTATTAATATATAAATTACAATAATTATAACACAGAACAAGTTTAATTATATCCTAACCAATTTGTATAGCCTATTCATATTTTATTGCACCTTCGACATCACAGTTCTGTTTTGATTGGCTGGAGTGCGTCGAACTCCTTTTCCCAGAGTGCACCGCGGCAGGGCTGCTCGCCTCCCATTGGTCTATCTCTCCTTGCAGCGGAGGCAGACATTAGGCGGTGGTGAGAGCCCGGCGGAGCCGGAGAGCTGCGGAGCTTAAATGAAGCGCACACACGAAGCGGCACACACCGTGCAGTGCGGCTCAGGAAGAGGCTCAGCGCCGCTAAAGCTGAAGGCTGCTCCGGCTGAATGAAAGGTCCATGCGGAGGCTAGCGCTCATTCTGCTGCCCTGTGCTGTCGCCGTCCTGGTGCACTTGTGGTTGGCACAACGACCCTCCTCCAGCCCGCTGGACAACAACACACACTCGGGTACTTTTCTTGGGTTTTATGGTTTTACCTCGAAAGCCTTGCAACTTTTTTCGACATTCGAGCGGCTTGCTAACTTTTTCTTGACCGCTGTCTGTTGTTGTTGTTGTGAGTTTATGTGGAAACAGGTAGTTTATGCTGTGCTCATGAAACTGTGTCCGTGTGTGTGTTTTGGTGGGAAATAATGTTACAGTTCAGTAGGGCTGGGCGTTGCTGGGATAGTCTAATGTCTGAAACAGACTGAAGTGAGCTGAACATCTCTGTCTTGTTACAACTACTGATCTCTGCGCTGCTTTCAAATGGACTCTGGTCTCTTGTGATCAGGAGGACCCTGGAGGGGTGAACCTGCTTTTTAAATCAGAGGAATATAGTAACCACCTTTTGATGCATGATGGTAGAATGATAGGATCCATCACAGTAAGTCAGTGCAGACTAACAATCGGATGTGTCAGAATCAGAGATGGGTAGCATAAATCAAGCATGCCTCAAAAGTGTATATTATTTCATTATCTCTGGTTGTTGCCTTATCGGTGTCACCGACTGTTGGTCATTTATCATCCCTATCTTCACATTCTCATCACTGGATCACAAATTACATATTTTTTAGTTTTTTCATTTCAATATTTTTTGCATGGATTTTTGTTTCTGATACAGATGAATCGTTACCTTTCTATGAAGTTTTGGTGGGAGTGCTGTCAGCAAGACACCATTATGAACTGCGACAAGCGATAAGGCAGACCTGGCTGGGCTACATCCGAGACCACCCTCACTTCCAGCTCAGGTCTGTAGGGTGGAGCTCCAACTTCCTCTCTTGGTTCTCTTTCTTTCTGTCTCTTTTTTCAAGGCCAGATTCATACGGTGGAAATAAAGCCTGCGGGTTTGAGCAAATAACTGACTGCCCAAACTAAACCTTTTATCTCTACCTGACCAGAGGCCAATATTGTTCTCTCTTTCTTTCTTCCTTTTTGTCCATTTCCTTCTCATTCAGTGATCTGAGCGTGGATAAGGTGTGATGGCCTTTAAGCAACCCTCAGTAACCATGGCAACGGAGGGTGGATAGATGGAAATTTTTTAGGAATCCTACAGCCTAATATTGGGGGAAATTGCAAAAGTGTGATTGTGCTGATTTTCAGAGTGGGGGTGAAGTTCATCGTCGGAGAACATGGGTGTCCCATTCCAGAGGAGGACAGAGAGGATCCATACTCCTGCTCCCTCCTGAACTTTACAAAGCCAGGTAAAAATGATATAAATGATAGTCAGCCCCACCCACTAATGAAGGGGCAGCTGTAATATCAAGAGACGCTCCCTTGCATGTGAAATCGTCAACAGGAGAGTGGAGGCTGAATAACAGGAGATGAGCTGAAAGAATGCATGTTCAGAAAATAAGTAAAACACCTTTATTCATTGTTCGCCCACAGCTCAAGGACACCATTATTTTCCTTTCCTTACCCAAGGCCAAAGCAAAGTCTCTCCCAGCTGCTGCAGCCCTAACTAGAACTGCCTTCTAACACTTACAAAGTAAAGCTATACAAAGCACTGACGCACCATATAGGAATTAATTGAACGGGCTCACTGTCAAATCCACAGTAATTGTTATGTCTCTCACCTTCACAGGGTCCGCTCTATTCAGGCGATTCACTACTTTTCTCAGTCAGTTTGGTGTTTGCTGCCTTCATGAAAACATAATTACCGCTTTTTTTTAGACGGCGGCCTTTAGGGTCATGGTGATGTTTTATTTTTCCAGCCTGTTCTCTGCTCTCTGCTGGGTTAATGGTCTTAACTGTTGACGTGATTTGCTTCATAATCAGAGGCTTGAAGGCGGCTTTGGAGCGAGATGCTCGTTGTGATTGGAAGAGAAAGAGACAACTGCTGCTTTTACACACAGTCGGGTACCTTACTCAGGATTCAGGTCAAAGCGCACATTAAATGGACAATTAATTGTTGTTGAAATATGTTTGTGCTGCATTCATCATTAGGGATTTTTCTTTGGTGACTAGAACTAAGGTGAATGCTAATTAGCTACTCAGACTCTGATCTGCCTCCAACACAAGGTGCGTGCTTTGTACTGGTGACAAAAGTCAAAATCTCGATGATTTAAATAGATTTTGTGACCTCAAGGCTGATATTTATTTTTCCTTTTTCTGTGTTTGTTAATTGTCTCAGTTCTTCCAGCTTCTCAAATGTGAATTCAAGCTTTTATACTGGATGTTGTTGATCGATGTTGATGTTTGCTTATATTTTTGATGTTAACCAACTGATTATAATGCAAATTACTTTCAGCCTTTCAGATTCAGCCTTTTTGACTTGATTTGTCACTAACTGTTAAACTGCAAGCAATGAAGGATATTCTTAGATTTTGTTTTAAAGAAAAATATATAGTGAATAACTTTATATTTATTGCTGTTTATTATTAAGAATTTGTGCAAAGTTTTATTTATTTCCCCCCAGAATAAACTAGCAAAAAGTGAGCATGCTGGCAAGCGCTGTTATGGCTCTTTTTGTTAAGTGTGCTAAAACTATTAATTGATACTTAAATATATATCCTCACAGACTGGTGCAGCGCACTTCCACTCGGCCTGTGTGAGAAACAGTTGGTTTGATAAAGTGCTGCTTTGTCTTGTCTGTGATTCCTGGCCTCTAATTGTTTGGCGTGAGCAGCAGAACTTGTGTAGAATGCATATAAAGTAAAAAAGAACTGCTTCCCTTTAACAGCCTTGATCTTTTCATTGATCTCCTGGGTAATAAACTGCTCTTTTGTAATTAAGAAACCACACTCACTGAGCAGAAGCTCGCTTTGAAGACAGCGGCTCCTCAAAGTGCTGATGGTGTAGCTTTACCAGAATCTGCCTTCTTCTCCGAATGCGTTCCCTCTCCCTGAATAACTCGGGTCTTCATCACTGAAAAGAGACGGTCAGCATGTTGGAATTGTAATACATTTCACGTTTGCTTGTACAATAATCTTTGCCATCCCTCTGTGCCAGTGGTGGGGCCGGATGCAGAGATAGAGATCGTGAAGGTGTCTGACCCCTCGCTGCTCGCCCCCTCCGACGTGTCTGCCATCGCCCTGGATTTCAAAGTTCTCCACCCAGTGGTGATCACGAGGCTGGGGGTGTTTCCCAGCGGGACCCAGCCCGAGCTTCAAAGCAATGTGACGGTGAAGCTTCTCCAGCTCGACCAGGAGGTAACACCACCCTCGCCTCCGAGCTAGGGCTGCTCGATTATGGCAAAAATCATAATCTCGATTATTTGGGTCAATAATTGATATCATGATTATTAAAAACGATTATCCATTTACTTTGAAAACATCAATTTATTGGAGAAAAAAATGTTGAACAGTATGTTTTTAACAGTTGATTACCCTGAACTTTAAGTATAATTCAACTGAAAAACCAATACAAAAAAAAAAGTAATTTGAAAAAAAGTAATAATAAAAAAATAATCGTTTTATTTCGATTACGTTGTTTTTGTAATCGTTGCAAGCCATAATCGTAATTGCGATTAAAATACGATTAATTGAGCAGCCCTACTCTGAGCATAATGTGTCCCGTATGAGCGTTCCTTTGGAGGCTGCTAGACACACAGCCTGGGAGGAGCTGGAGTACTCAGTGCTGGTGGTGTTTACTGAAAGACACACACTGAAACTTCTTTGAGTTACTGTCTTAAAGATAGCAGGAGTATTCAGTGTAGGTGAAGTTACGTTTGTGAAAACTTTTATCGAAGAATTCTTATGTGGTAAAAGTGTGTGCTCTTTGCAGGAGGCTGTGGTCACGGCTCGCTTCAGTGCCATCAGCACCGGCACCGTGGTGAGCGGGGTGTGGTACAAACCAGTGGAGCAGTTCATCTTGCCCAAGGTCAGTTTTGTACTCAGAATTTCTAAAATCCTGGCTACCAATTTTGAGCCCAAGTCCGCCAACTGACACTCTCCCCTGTTATTTGGATATTTCATGGAAATATTTTCTGCAAGTTCTATTTAAATGGAGCAGTTCGGTAAAATAATGATCCATGGCGAACACAACAAACTAATACCAAAACATTGTGTCAAAAATATTTCTTAATGTTTCATTGAATTAGTACCAGAGTATTAAACATAGCTCTTTTCAGGAAGTGAACCAGGAAATGACATATTCAATGTTTTTAATGAATTATTTCCCAACAGAAAATAAATTGTTATAGGACACAAATTAATTAATTCGGGAAATATCTCCCCCATCACCGATATGCAACACAAAATAAATCATATATCCATTCTTCCTCAGATCAATATATAAAGTTAAATCCGCTTTTAGCAAAGAGTCCAGTTGCAACCCCAACATGATTTTAATCCAGTTCATAGGCTCACAAACAAAGGCAATTTAGTTTGGTTTGACAGTGATACATTCTAAGACCGAAGCTGTGAGCCATATTAAATCTGACGCGGGCCAACCTTGGCCATGCCTGCTATAGGCAATAATTAGTTTGGTAATATTTCTTTCCTTTATCTAAATGTATCGCAAATTTTAACCATTAACCATTTTGAGAAAATCTGCATAATACCTTTCAAATCCTTTTTACCACCTGCTATTATTGATACACCATTGTTTCCAAAGTTTACAGTATTCATTTATGTTTGGGAAGCAACACCAAAAAAATATTTCACAGGACTTTTTTCCACGCAGGGTTTTGAGGGGACACTGGTCTGGGAGAATTTGGATTCTGCTGGATTGACCACGGTCAACTCGTCTTCTGTGCAGCTCAATGACGGAGGAGGTGTCCTCAAGATCTCCTCTGTACGTACCCATGGAGTATTCAAGAAAAATACATTCAGAATATTCCCTTTTTAAAGTGATGTGAAAGAAAGAAAGAAAACCTTTTTTTTCTTCTGATTTCCTAAATTGCAGATCGCCGAGGGCTTATTGCCTCATAGAAGTGCGCTCGGATTTCCCGGTTTGGCTGGAGGGTTCACATTTACTATCTATGGTTGGTCCTGCAAAAATAACTAATACTGAGCTTTTTGTAAAAACATTTCAATCAATATCAAATCAGCACACTTTATATACTTTTTATTTTTTTAAATCACTGGCTGGTTATGAGAATAGCTCCTTTTTCAGCTCAGGGCTACAGCGTCTGTGCTAAATGGAAATGAATATGTCATTCCCCTCTTTCACTCTTGATTTTCACATGCATTTGCCTTTATCTGGGAATTGTTTTGTACCCATTTTGAGGTAAACAAAATTAAGTCCTCACACTATTTCTGCTAACAGAACAAATGATTCATCCTGTGGAACAGAACAAATTGTTATATAGAGTTTTGCCATTCAGTGATTTAAGACATTATCCCTCAGAATTGCCTTAATGTATTCAAAGAGCTTTTAATATCTGCTTTCAGAGGAAAACTTCCATTTTCTGTATTGTTTCTGTTTCTATGTCCACTTCAGATGAGGACGGTCTGTCGGGGCTCCTGCGGGGCCGCCCGGCCAGGATGGAGCGCCATGCCTCCAGGCTGAGGGAGGAGGACGCCGCCCTGCAGCAGGAGAGCCTCCGGCACGGAGACATGGTGTTCGTAGACGTGGTAGACACCTACAGGAACGTGCCTTCCAAACTGCTTCAGTTCTATAAATGGTAAGACAAGTGCTAATGACTCGATTTTCTGTCTCCAAATTGCCTGGGCCCTCTGAGGAAATCAGCCACCTGAAATGAAAGTGTGTCGTCGCCTCGAAGTGTCTCGCTGTTAGAAACACGATTGCAATCACTCAGTTAGGAAATCTACAGTTGAGTCATCAGGTAGAAAAATCTAGTGAGTGATCGTATTTGCCCCTTCACTCTCGTGGTATTTAAAAGTAAATCCGCTGAGGGGTATTGCCAAAAAATCAGAAGGTGGGCTTTGATTAAGGTTACAAATTCCCTCTCTGACAGGTCTGTGGGAAACGCTGACTTTAATCTGCTGCTGAAGACGGATGATGATTGTTACATCGACGTGGACTCAGTTTTAATGAAGATTGACCACAAGGGTCTCAAGCGCAGCAATTTCTGGTGGGGGAAGTAAGTACGATTTGTTGTCTGATCCTGTTGACTGTATATTTTGCTGGTGATTTCAATCCACTTGACTTGATCAGCTGAACTTAAGATGAAAGAAACAGGACTGCTCTCTCAAAGCGACGAAAGGGAGACAGGAAGTGATGATAATGTGCCGTCCTGACCCAGTTTCAGGCAGAGCTGGGCAGTGGACCGCATTGGGAAGTGGCAGGAGCTGGAGTACCCGAGTCCCGCCTACCCAGCGTTCGCCTGCGGTTCGGGCTACGTGGTCTCTCGTGACCTGGTCCAGTGGCTCGCCAGTAATGCGGATAAACTGAAGGCCTACCAGGTAGTGATCCCCAGAGAGTTTTTACAGTGGTAAATAATCCTGATCATAATGTGAGGAATTGTCCCGTCTTGTTACAGGGAGAAGATGTGAGCATGGGGATATGGATGGCAGCTGTTGGACCACAGAAATATCAGGTAAAAGAAATGGAATGCAAATCATTTATAGAATTCAATTCATCAGATTTTGTCGGGTAAGATAAAGTCTCACTTTTTCCATCTTTGTACCTGGTGTTTTCATAGCACACTATATCAAGTTGATATAGGCATTCAATGTCTGACATTGAGATATATTAGAGAGAGGAAAGATGTAACAAATTCTTCAGGAAGATGACAGGGTAAAAAAATGCATATACGACAGGTATGATATATAAGTTTAAGATGCAAATGTCAATAAAAACAACAAAATATTAAACATTTAAATATAAACGTAAATAAAACAAACATTAAAAACAAAACGATCAAGGTAACATGTTCCCTATAATTACATCATATTCAAGCATCATGGTTTCTCATCTCATCTTGGAGAACATGCTGAAAGAAGTGTAAAACAAAGAGAGACTAAAAGAAGTTAAAACAAATAAACATTCTTATTTTTTATTTCTTAAACCTTTTATCTCAAATGTTATTGAAACATTTTGATATACATGGCAAATAGCAGGGCTAATCAATTAGATTGTTTTCACTAGTAATTCACTATTTGACTTTATAATTGTTGTGCTTTTTATAATTTTAACAAACTGGTATGTTTATTTTAAATTAAATACAAATGACACATTCCCTATGGTATACTAGGCTTTTAAGCTCAGCATCACTTGTAAAAGCATGTGCTTGAGGAGTCTGTGAAAACCATGGATGTATGAAGAGAACTGAATTCAGCCCAGTTCAGTGAAAGTCGCTCAGTGGCGTGTGAAGCCAAAAATGGCCTGTCTCAGGAACAAAAATACACGGATCATCCGGGGACTCGGGCCCAGAGAGCATACACACTTGCGTTAGAGCATAAGCCCCGCCTCCGATCCGCTGGGACACAACCTGTCTCGGCTCAGTCAAATTAATAGAGGGGGAAAAAAGCCTGCGATTCAGTTTTTTCATGTTAACAATCAAACTTTAGTAAGACATTAACCAGTGTATGGCTGATAACAAAATCAAAAAATGCATGTTAACACGGACCCTGTCCTTCCCCCCCGCTGCTGCCCAGGACCCTGGCTGGCTGTGTGAGAAGGAGTGCTACCTGGATATGCTGTCGTCTCCCCAACACACCGCAGAGGAGCTGCACACCCTCTGGGACAGGAAGAGGGCCTGTGGAGACCCCTGCGGCTGTCCCTGGGGCCACTAAGTCTAGCTCCCAGCACAAGTACCACGCGGCACTGTGGGTAATATGCACTCAGCACTTGGTGTGAGTTCAGTTTCTGTAAAACTCCAAACTGACTTGTTTTACTTTATGATTAAAATACTTGAGATTTGGCGACTTCCTTCCTGTTGGAAAATTTCCTGAGTTAAAATGTTAGATTTCATTGCAGGTTCTTAATATCAACAAAATACTGTACCAACATTATAAACCATATGCAGCTCTAGAATATGTTAAAAACTCACATGTAGCTGTAGCATAATGTCAGCATTTGTATCAGGAACTTGATTATTTAGTTTGAGAATGAAAATGTCTTCAGTTGAACAGACAAAGGTGGAGAAAGACTGGATTAAAAAATGTTTTTAGTAATGTGATCACTGAAAGAGATGGACAAGACCCATGCACAAGCAGCATGTGGTTATTGTGTACAGAATCGCTGCTGTAGGAGTTGGTTACTTTGTAATATTGTAATTATTGGTACTCTGATAAACCGTTTGGTTTAAAAGCGATATTTGATGGACATTTAAAGATGATTGGCTTGACATTGCTTTATTTTGTAAATTATTGTCTAAAGCTTTTCATCCTCCTTCACAATTTGTAGATTTACGATGAGCTTTATCACAATCACACAAAGTTTGTACTGTAACCGTCATTGTGCAAATAGTGATGTGGCCTTATTGTGTTTGTTAGGGGTCATACTGTGTGTATGTTATAACACTTGTGCTATCAACACAGATTTGCAATGCACAGTTTTGAAACTTGGATCAGCAGTCAGTGACTGCTCACTATGTTGGCACTGCTTTTATGAAACCTTCCTCACAGGAAATAAAGAGAGATGAATGACTTGCTTGTTTTGTTGTTTTGGGGATGGTGCACACGATAACAAGTCACTGGTGGCTTCTTTGTTGGATCCATGTTGAGCCTCAAGTGTTGTTTTAGCTGTTAGGGCTGCTGATTCGGCACTAGAGACACAGTCAATTTTCTTATGTTGTTATAGGAGAGGGTTTCTACAAAAGAATATAAAACAAATGTTTTTGACCTTTGACTGAGCCCACAAGAGCAGCTGTTACACTCTGTCCAGGGACGGAGGCTCCAACCTGCCGTGCTGTCTGTCCTCACCATAACCTGTCTATATTTCAGAGGATGTCTCTCAGAAACTTCCTCAATATCGGTTTTCATGCTACTCTTGCTGTGCATGACACGACTCCGAACAGAACCCCCCCCCATCAAACCTGCGCTATGGTCACCCTACAGCCCCCAGTCCTAGAGCAACGCCTCCTAGACAGCCTGTGAGTACATCAATCATGTGAAGACCCTGAGGCTGCCATGGAACAAGCGTTTTCAAGTGTTTTTGGGAAGGCAGACCTTTTGGCGTTCAAACCAAAGCTGGATCGGACTTTAATGCAACAGGCCCAGTGTCACAGGCTGGGCAGCAGCCACAAAGAGGCCCAACGCTCTCTGGCACTGCAGCGCCGACACTGGTGCACTCCATAATCTCCTTCCTTCTCTCATTGGTCAAGCCTGCCTGTTTGATGACAGAATCCAGAACTGACTGACTTAAAAACAAAGCCCCAACCAAGAGCACTCAAAAAGGAAGCAACTGGAGGTAGCTGTTCAGGTGCCAGATTTGTTGACCAGAACCAGTTTTGTCCCTGACTTTTGTCCTCCTAACCCCTCAAAAGCCAGGGTGGATACATAATCAGGGTCTGGTGGCATCAATGAAGGAGACTGGCGTGATAGATTCAAAAGATAGAGCTGTTTTGAGGTCACTATTTGAGGGTCCTCCGCAAAATCTCCCACTATCTTTGCATGAGGTCCACACTCGGATTACAGATTGGCTTCCGCTCAGCCCACAAATACTGGCTTTTCCTCCCTACCGCCAGAACAACAGAACTGTGTGGAACTGCCCCTTTTCAAAGGGGGGGTACCATCATCCTGGCCACTGTCCCTCTCATCACTTCCATAATTAGATTCCCCTGATTTGAGGCCATAATTCTTAGTGGCAGGAAAAACACAAAGCTTCCCTCACTGAATCTTGAAGGAGAGAAGAGACACACATGTAGTTATTTAAAGGTAAAAGAACATAAACATTTGCAAGTTAATAAAAAAAGCAGTCCACTTTAAGCATCGAAAGCAGTGAAACACTCCTGAATGCGAAACTAATTATAGGTGCAACAGCGCTTCAAAGACGCGTGTCCAACACCTATCACCAACAAAGACTATTGTTAGTCAAAAGCAACAAAAGATTCAAAGCTATGCTCCCTGGTAATGTTGTGGACAGTATTGGCCTCATTACCAGTCAGTATGTGATTATTGTGAACACTGAGCACAATTGTCACCTGAAACAAAACAAACCAAACTCTTGGCAGGCTAAGGAGTGCTGAGTGCAAGGCAGCCCAATAATTGGCAACCAAAAACCGTGAGGGATCAGGAAAAAACAGAATGATAGGAAGAGGAAGAGTGTCCCACCCAGCGGTGTCATTTATTTGGTATGATTGCCCCTGATCAAAGGTTGGTCGTCACATGGTTACAGGTTCACTTAAAAAGAAACACTTTGATCTCTTTTGGTGATTGTTTTTCCTGAGAAAGTCAGACGGACACTGCTGGAATGATAATCGGGGAAACTAGTGGAGTGATTTCGCCCCAAATATTGATCAGCTGCTCTGTGTTATTCAATAGGACTGAAGAGATCCAGCCATCAGCTCATACACACTGAACAGACTTTAAAATGTTGACATAAAGCGAATGTGGTATTTCTTTATGAGCATTCTTCTCTGAGCATATGCTCGTAGTTGCTGCATCTAATTGTTTGTTTGTTTGTTTAGCCAAGTGATTGATGCCAAGTCACGAGAATAGGACTGCCTCTGTGTATATCTTTGTGAAGATGAAAGATGATGCTGAGTATTTTTACTAATGGGGGGGTAATACAAGTTGTTTAGGATTCTCCTACCTGCCAAAAAAATCTATTCCTGCAGTTAACCTGACATTGGAGCACACATTCCTCTTCTTCCGAACCCCCCTCCTCCTTCTCTCCCTTCCCAGCTAATCCTTCGCCTCTTCTCTTTCAGTGAGCTGCATGATAACAGAGTCATATCCGCATCTGTTCCACTCTCCTACGTAGATAAGGACGGCTGTTTTCACCCCATCAGCCTCTCTCTCGCTGATTTGGCTCAAAGCCCTTCATTGTGAAGCATGAGAGAAGCATGGAAATAACACGCAGATAGGAGAAATAAAAGCCAAGCTCTCATCTCCGCTCTGGTGCGTCTGTAGAAGATGATGTTATTGAATTTGTCTGAACTTTGATGAATGCTGTGAGGGTATTGTCACTCAGCGATGTTTAAACTATTGGCATTTTTTCTTCTTCTTCCAGAGATATGCTCCAAATCTTCTTCTGCCTCCTTTGTTCCCTGGGTGTGTATGAACCCTGTTCTCTCTTTCCTACCCATCCAACCAGGCAATCAATTCAACCACATCATAATAACTTGAGAGAAATTGTACAATGTTTGCCTTACAAATGCAGCGCTGTGAACTTTTCCTGAGGGGTCCTTTTCACCACTTTTTGTTATACTTTATCTCACCCTATGTCCTGCCAACATGGGGTATAAAAATGTGATTGTACTAGCAACAAGCAATGGTTGGATAATGTAAAATAATGTTGGGTCAGACGGGAACACTACTGAAGAATTCCTTTGTTCTCTAAATCAATCCTTTTGAAAAAGCTGGAAGCGTAAAGCAGAACTAGAAATATTTTTTTACAAAACCCCGGCATAAGGAAAGATCTAGATTCAAGAATGTGATTCATCCATATGTTCTACAAATGACCTCACACGTTTTTTTATTCGTATCTGCTCTGCAACAAATTTGTAATCTTTTCTAAGAAACGATGAGATTACTATTCCCTGAACCACTGACTTATTTCAACTCTATTTATATTTTGCCATGAAAGGTCAATCATCCATTTAGCCAGTGACAAGCACTGCTCTCAGACAACAGAGGGAACTCAGGTGCTCAAGTTAATTGTATTTATAAAATCCTTTTCATCTTGAGTTACCTCCTCTCAAAACTCATCTTCTTGCGCTGCGGTTTGATCACAGGAATATTTAGACATTATGATTAATTTTCCTCATGGTCCCACTTACATCTCAACAGATGAAGCACTTCATCAACAGTGCAGATACGGAATCTGCTCATAGCTTTTTTGTTAATTTATGCCCCCCTGGAACTAACTGTTATTTTTTTTTTGCTTTTAGCCCCTCTTGTCTACATAAGGAAGCAGGCCATCTTCTTCTATTCCTCCATGTTTCTACAGTAGCTCAGAATGGACAATCTAAACTCCCATTTTTACTTGAAGGCCACTGTCATGTTCTGACATGTTTTGAAAAGGACTTGTTTCCAGTGATTTCCTACTAAATCCTAAACAGCGTTACACATTATATAAAGAGTATTTTGGTATGATGTGATCATGTTCTTTAGGGTCTGCACACTGACTTTAGGTCAAATGACCCTATTGAGTTGTATCCTCAGTAGTACTGTACCATCCTAACTCATTAATTGTTCCAGTTACTTTGATGAACTATTTCAATGTTTTATTCATTCAGGGTGTCCGTGGGGTCTTAAAAAGTATTAAAAGTTGATATATCAATTTAGCGAAAATTAAGGCTATTAAAAAGTATTAAATGGCATTTTCCAAGGTATTACAGAAGGTTCACAGCAACGACAACAAGAAACACCCTTTAATTTACTGAAACGACATGTCGGGAAACCCCCCAAGGCGGCCCCATGCATAGCTCGCCGTAAAATGCTGCTTATTATTTTAAGTTTCGTTGCCTTGCTCCGCTCTGTGTGTGTGTGGGGGGGGGGGGGGGAACTAAACGACTACGGTAACGGGTCCCAAGGTGGGTAGACCGGCATACGCAACGCTCTGGAGGTCCAACGGCTCCGTGTGTAAGCCCTATATGATCATTTTCTGATAACGATGAAATAGCCCGCAACTTGTGATGCGGGTGGGGCCCACGTAAATTGATGTACTGGCCACCAAGGGGGGCGCAAATTCACTTGAACACACACTAAAAATTCCACATGTGGTTGCCATGTAATTTATAAACAAATATTACTAAGT